TTTTGAGCTGTAGGAAGTTGGCTTCAGTTCTGGTGATGAAGTTCGGTGCTTGTTTGAATTTACAAACCACTTCTCAGAGCCGGGCCTATGAACATCATTTCATCAGCCTCCTAGGTAGTAGGTATAGAAACTCATGGACTCAGTATAGACAGTGGAATTCTGACACACTACAATCTGTTGGACATCTGACTCCCCAGGTACATCTGCCCTGTTACCTATGCTGCTACATCCCCCTTCCCTCCCCAACCCCAGCCGGTCCCTCACCCCCTGACATCTCCATTTCCATTTTCACTGACCAACTTTCTTGCCTGCATTGCATGCCAGCTTCTGGCTTCTTTACTAGTCCTTCCATCCAGGAACAGCACACAGACACACCAGCTGCAGGTGCTTCCTGAGCCTGACAAAGGATTTTTCAACCCAAAAGCTTGCTAAGATATATTTCTCTAACTATTCAGTATTTTTTTAAAAATAATAAACATAAAAACACAACATAACCCATCACACACCACAAGTAACACATCATTTATAAATCCAAAACAACATCTCTGTTTCTTCCATTCAATTCTTTTATAAAAAGAAAGGGTCTGTGACAATCTGGCTGTCTGAGATACTGCTGCTGCTGCTGTGCTGCTGCTCACTAAATTATTATTTTACCTGTTGTCATTTAAAGTGGTGGACCAGGCTGAGGCTGTAAGGGAGGAGGAGACCTCATTGGGGCACACTACCATGTCATGTAGATGCCCCAGCTCCAGTGAGAGTGCGACTTAACACACACAGTCACACAGTGAGGGCGCTTCTTAACATGCACACTGGAGAAGAAGCTCCTGCAGGAGTGGAAAGAAAGGCTCTGTCACAGTATGGCTGTCTGAGAGGCTGCTGATGCTACTGTGGTAGTGCTCACTAAGTTATTTTATACCTGTTGTCGTTTAAAGTGGTGGCTGACTTCTGTTTTCACAATTTTGACAGGACTGTGTTTCATTTTGAGATTTGTTTCATTTCAAAAGCACTGTTCCATTTCATTTTGTTGAAACTGTTTCACTGTTTCAGTGTTTTGCCCATAACCTATAACTTTGTCATTTCTTGCCCGATTTGGCTGATACTTGCAGGTGTGATAGCCCCCCTGCTGAGGCCACAAAGCCTGCCAAGTTTCAAGGAGATAGGTGCAATGGTTTCTGTGAGACTGTACCTCAAGCTACTGACAAGCAAAACTCGTGTAACATGTATGTGTGTTAAGGTGAAAACTGCAGGCATGGTAGCCCCTGCTGAGGCCATGAAGCTTTCCAGGTTTTAAGGAAATGGGTACAGAGGTTTCTGAGAAAATGCACCTCAAACTGTTGAGAGCAAAAATCTTGAGTCACTTGGCAAGTGTGAAGGCAAAGAGAAAGCTCAGTTCAAACAATGCTTTCTATGCTGTTTTTCCATCCCTCTCCCAGAGCACTGGGATTGGAAGGGACCTCAGGGAAGGATCAGTCACTGGCCAGCTACACATGTCAGTATCAGAGCAGTCATTTCCCCACCCCTCTCCTTAGTTTCTCTTTAGCTGCAAGCAAGCCCAGCTTTGAAACATTTCAAAACTTTCAAAACATTTTGACTGCCCTTGTTTTGTTTTGAGGCTGTTGCGAAGCCTTTCATGTCATTTAGATTTCACTGTTTTGAGCTCAAAATTAATTGAAACAGCATCAAAACAAAACAGGCCTCGAAATTTGGCACAGCCCCAGTACATAACTCCACAGGAGGATAGTATTTGTATTTAGGGATTATATTTACAAGTGCTATCCTAGGCAGGGTTTATTAGTTTACTGCAGGCTAATAAGGCCACACATGTAGATGTGTAGACTTTACGGTGGAGCTAATTAGGCAGCTCTGCAGTAAATGTCTCATATAGATGCACCCAGTGCTAGCAAGGGATATTTTCCCCAGTGCAGTAAGGTCTCCGAGTGAACACATGCATGTGCCCGTCTGTGTACTTGTGCATGTTTCTCATTCTGTTTGTCTGTCTCTGTCCATGTGTACATGGTAAATTTACCAGCATCAACAATGGTGCCCTCAAGGACGTGATGCTGCTCCCAGCAAGGACACATCCCAATCCCAAAACAGTGTAACTGTGTCCCCACAGTACATTGGGTGGTCCAATTAGCATTACTGAGTGTCAGGGCCAATTAGCTCCCCCAACCAAATTAGTCTACCCACAGCACCACATAGATGCAGCCACATTCCTTCTGGGTTAGGAAACAACTGACAGAACTGTGCAGCCTACTGCCACTGGGCAAAGTCAGTTTATCATGATGCAGACATGGCCTCTTTCTCATTTTTATCAAGGCAAAGTTTATCTCACTGAGTAGGCAGTATAGGAATTCAGTCCAGGTCTTACCAGCATTTCTCTTCAACATATGTTCTGCTTCTGTGGCTGTTATTTGAGAGACTGTGGTGAACACGTGGGCACAATGTACGGAGGCTCGTTCCATGCAGTACCGATGATAAATCTGTCTCTCTCCTGCTTCTTTGTCTATATCAAACTGTGGTACAACAAAAGTGACATTTCTATAAGATATACTGCAACACACAGTTCACCACTTAATAGATCAACAACTAAATTTGATCTAGTTTTATGTTTTTAAAAATGTCATCTGCAAACACAACATTACCTAGTACTTTAAAACAGGGCTGTCCAACTGGTGGCCCACTCCCACCCAGCCACTGCTGTCCCTATTGCTCTAACTGTAGCAGCAGCCACAGTCTCAACACCCTCCACCCTCCTCCAGCTTCTGCTGCATTTTTCCGCCCCAGGAGATGAGGCAGCACAGCATGGCACAGCCCATAGTCCCCGGGGAGCCGGCAGCCTGGAGTACGCATGTGGCAAAGTGTTATAGGGGAGCCCACAGGAAGCTGAAAGTGAGATGCGGTGCCCCACCATGCAGGGGAGAGCCTACACACATGTGCACAGTGCATCAGGGTGATGGAGCCCCCACCCACATTTGCAGTGTATTGGGAAGGAGAACAGCTACTTGCATGTGCGTGTGAGGCACACAGCCTGACTTGGCCATGGTCCCTGCTAGCACCTGTGTGCCCCCCCACTGGTGCAGCCCATGGGGTAAGTGGCCCCTGGCCACTTTGAAGGTAGACAGTCCTGCTTTAAAATATTGCCACTCCAGTTTCATTCTTAATATATACTGTTACTTGAAAGTTAATTTTCTCTCTTGTCCAGATTCAAACATGTCCAACCCTGTAGTAACTTCCAGTTTAATTTCTAATTTTGGCACTGTCTTTCATTTAACAGGAATTGCAGATCTGAACACACTTAAGCATTTGCTATGCAGCAAGCAAATGCAGACAGAAGGAATTCAACTATTCACCATCTTTAATATTATACTCTTCTTACCTACATTCTCAACCCCAGCTGTAACTAGAAATGATACTCTCCATGTTCTCTGCTAAGCACTCTTGCTGTGTGTCCCGTACTTAATGTTTTCCAGGCAAAACTGACTGTATTTCAATGGTAGATTCTGCAGCTGATGTGGATATGTCAGCCTACGGCTGCTGGAAGACATTAATTTACTTGCACAGTTGGAATCTTATGAATTTTATGTTGGATCCCAAAATTTGTGTAATCTGGCTTGGCACATGCGCATGGTAGGACATGCAATTTCAGGGATCCACCATAAAATTAGTTGGATCCTAAATGTGGGGAAAATTGCTTTATTTTTAAACCTCCCCAGGAGTCCAGACCCAGAAACCAGGGAGAGATGCAGGCAGCTCAGCTGCAAGTATACCCTTTAAAAGTCCCTGTGCACTGAGTAGTAGAGACCAGGGAGCTTCTCCCCAGTTTCTTGGTCCCAGAGCTGGGGAGGTTTAAAAGTGCCATTACAGCCCTGCCTGCTTTTCAAAAGTCTCTGCATGCCAGGACTGTGGCCATTTACAGATGTTACATTTTTCTAGGTTTAATATGGACTACAGCCATCATTATATACATGTGGACATCTATAGTCCAAACTAAAATTGGTTCCAGTCCAAATCAACTAATCCTTATCAATTAAAGTTAATGCTGATAAGGGCAGTCTGCATTATGCCACTTAAACTGTATTAATTAACATGTATATATGATTCCTAAGGAACTCGGCAGATAAACATTGCAAATATCAGTCCCCATAAGGGAAATTCAGTTGTGCTTTTGCAACACAACAGAGGATATCGGGCACAAAGTAACACCTGTACAAAGTAAAATATCCCAACATCATCTCACTATGACTAAGTATCAATTGCAGGTCAATTGCATTCATTATGGCTTCTGGTATAGCACTTTAGATATCTGTCAGTAGGATTGTAACAATGCAGCAGTGGTTAAACAAGCTTAATATCACCTGCTAGTGACTTACAAACAAACTGATGCATACAGGCTGCAAACAAGGTCTGTTAAGGGACTGTCAAGTGTATAGACTGTATATAGCCAGGGTCCCCTGCCATGATGTTCAATGATCATCTATTAACCCTGAATTCAAACTGAAATTTGATTCAAACTGTATGATGCAAATCGGTGGTTTAGAAAATGGTGAGCATGTCTACAATGTGCAGGACAGATCTCCTGGCTCCCCGCCAGCCTGTGAACCACACCAAGAAGTGGCACCTGAAGTGGGAGAGGGGAAGATACATAACTGGCCTGCAGAACCTTTGGATCCAGCCCAATTACATGGGGTTTCAGGAGTGTTTGCCAGCAGAAGCTTTCTTCATGCTGCAATGGAGACAAGGGAAACTTTTCTTTTGCCATGGCAGCAGACAGATCCTAGTACTCATCTGCCTCTGACCTGAGCTGGTCTAAAAAGGTTGCTCACTGCTGTTGACAGCATTGATAGTTCAATTATAATGGCCAGTGTGAGAAACAAAATAATAAAGCCAGGTGAAACTGGTTACCAGCTAGTGATATAATTTGGGTGGGATGAAAACTCACAGTGGTTTAGGGTCTGAGCTTGGGAGTTCAAACATCCAGCATTAATTTCCATTATGAAATCTCTACAATGCAATCTAAAAAAAGATCAACTTAAGTGCCAACGATTATATAGTTTACAGTCTGCTTAGTGCTTAAATAATTTTTCAGTGCTGGCAATACAAAGGCTACTCTCTCAAGTTCAGCAGCCAGGGCATAACATATATTTCTTCTACCTGTCATGCATTAATGGTGACAATGACATTAAGTGTCTCACCTATTCAAAATACTCACACTTAGGTTTGGCATTAAACATAGTCATTTTATATGTGCCTCAACAGGACATCCAAATACACACTGAGTGATTTCATTGTTGGAATAGGATAGCTGGATGTCTTACAGAAGAACCTAGTGAAAAATGTCCTACATTCAAAAGCTTGTCTAACTTTATCCCAACCATGCAGTTGGTCCAATAAAAGACATCACCCACAAAGCTTGTTGCCTCATATACAAGGAACCACATTTGAAAAGTGATCACCTCAATGCAAACTGGATCTCTAGTGTAACTCTACTGACTGTCCATTATTCCTACAGTGGTAATAGCTGCACTACCAGCTGTCTGACAGTTCCCATTTGGAGTCCCTGTTTTTAGTCACTTAAAATGTTGTCAAACTTTGTCAAACTGTCCATTTTCATCCTGTCTGCTTTAGACTGATTCTTCTGCTCACATTTCACCAAAAATGACTTAGCCATTTCAGAGAACTTGATTAGGTTGTAAGTTGGTTTCCCTATGCTAAAACAAACCTTGCTGCTTGTTTTTTAGGGTTTTATATTTATTTATTTGGGGGGGGGGTTCAGAAGCTTTCATCCCTCATAGCTTTTATGGAGGGACTTGACATTTGCCAGTAATGTCACCTTTTAGCAACCAGGGGTGTACCTGATGCTGTTTCTATCAAGAACAAAAGAAAAAAAATCCCACTCAAATTTGACAAAGAAATACACCAAGCATGGTAGAGACTTATAGGAATATGACAATAGCATTCTCCAAAGATTCCATCTGCACTGAGCATGCTCTATTTCAGGGATGAGCAGGACTGCTCTTGCAATTGCTACTCCAAGTACAACAGGTCTCTAGAATCAAGCACTAGAACCAAGGTTAGGGATGTGTCATTAGGTCAGCAGAGAAGCTGTAGTCAAGCTTCCAGGAGCAGGTTAGACTTTATTAATACAATAAACTAAACTAAGGAGAGGGATGTAACTGGGAGATGACTATATTGTAGAAGTGTTTGGAGTTAGGGCTGCGCAAAATTTCACCGGTTGTTTGGATTCAACACTGTTTCGACTACTTTCGATCTCGAAACAGTGAAATCGAATTGAAATTAAGGGTTTTGAAACAGCCTCAAAACAAAACAAGGCTAGTTGAAACATTTCAAAACATTTTGAGTTTCAAAGCCAGCAGCAAGAGACAGGGGAGAACCAGGGCTGCACTCCCAGCACCAGCTGGGAGTGCAGCCCTGGCTCTCGCCTTCTCCCACTGCCAGAAGCTGATAAAAGTGCAGGGGAAGGGAACTGAGCCTGGGCTCAGTTCCCCACCCCAGTGCTGTGATCCGGCGGGGGTGTGGGGGTGGAGAGTCAGCCCAACTGGGCTGACTCTCTGCCCCCACCCCCATTCCCAGCATGGTGGGGGGGAGTGAGCCCAGCTGGGCTGACTGTCCCCGCACCTGATTGCAGCATGGGGTGGGGAGGGGAGTGGGCCCAGTTGGGCTGACTCTCCGCTTCCCCCCCACCCAGTCTAGTGCTTTGAATGGGAAGTCAACTCAGCTGGGCTGACTTCCCACCCCCAGTGAAACGTCAAAACAGCACTGAAACAGCCTTTCAGTTTTGATGGAACAGAACAGCTGTTTTGAATCGAAATTAAATTCAAAACAGAATGCTGTTCCTTCAAACCATCGAAACTGAAGGTGAAACAGAATGATGCCATTTTGCACAGCCCTACTTGGAGCTTTTCTTCTGACCAGCTGCTCACAGCTAATTCTACACAACAAATATGGTTATATTAATATAAATGCTAACATGGTTTCTCTTACGTAAACAGACTGAAGAACTATAGACATGATACTTCTAGCTTCCTTTCCCCTGGAAACAAAATTCCTGTAGGAACTCTGCTTTCATTGACTGTATGATGGAACAACTGTTAGGGAACAGTCTGAACTTTCAGTCAAATTCCTGAATTAAAAGCTATCGACTTAACAGTGGAAAAACTCTTCAGTTCTTCTCTCTTCACCAAAAGACTACCATAGCTCATGTTCGTTAGAATGAGTATCCTTGGTTTTTAAGCAGATTAGAGCAGCAATATATGAAGTGCCTCTACTCTTCTGGCTGACACCAACACCTGTAACCAGAGCCAATCCTAGGGGTGTGCAGGGCAGTGGTGGGGAGCAGCCAGAGCATGGAGTGGGGGGTGGGGGTGGCAAAGCCCCAGTTGTGGCCACACGGAGTGGTGGCACCCTTGGGGCCTGTATGGCAGCGTCCACAGGGGTCCCCCTTAGTGTGGGGCCTAGGGCAGTTGTCTTGATTTGCCCCACCCCGCAAGAGATG